CAAAGAAACATAGAGAAAAGTATCTATTTTCGCTACAGAACACACATTTGCTCTTTGGGAGGCGGAAGGGGCAAATCTTTGACTGGGTTCTGCCATTTTTAAACCAGTCTGTGCACCGAACTTCTAGGGACAGAAGTTACATGTAAACTGGTTTAAGTAATCAGAAACTGGTTTAAACCTGTAACAGAGCAGAAGTTCAGTGCACATAAACCAGTTTCAAAATGGTTGAAGCTGGTTTAAGATAAAACTGGTTGAGTGTAGTATCAGACTTAACTGATTTGGGTCAAACCGGTTTATGAAACTTTTGTGGCAGACCCCTTCCTGGTTTAAGTTAAATCAGAGTTCCTCAGCATCCCAGCATGCTTTCCAGGCTTGGGCTGGGCTGGGCTGGGCTGTGTGCTGCAGCAGAGAAGAGTTGGCAGGGATGAGGACTAACCTGCAAAGACTGAATTGATTCAGCCTTGGGCTTTTTGACTTTCTATATTTAACCCAACATCTCCCAAATTTCCTAAAAACTTCCTGGGACCTCTGAGGAACACAGTGATCTCTTGTGATGCAGAATACTGTTGTTGTATGCCAGAGTTCTGTTCTGTTACAGGTATAGACCAATTTCTGATAATTTATACCAATAAAAGTGTAATGTCTGTACCTGGCCTTAGCATCTGGGAAAAGCACCATTTGTTTAAACAGCTTAAACTCTGCTGGTGAAAAGGTTAACAGTTATTTAAAGTAACTTTCAGCATTTAAAACATTCCATAAGTATGATTTTCCAGCACTTGATTGTTATTTAGAACTATTTAATTTTCACATTTCACTTTTTGTTTTCAGATAAATGTTAATTAGTGAAAGTGATTTATTAAAAGCTATATTTACTCTAGAAAGCTTGTATGTAAGATGTTGTCCTTATCTTCATACTTTCTGCCATGAAGTTCTAATATCTTTCATAAATGTTTCCTTCCCATTTTTTGTCTTAAATGAAAAATAGTTATTTAACGTAAAAATGTTTTAAGTAGTAAAGACCCTTTATATGTAATTTTAAAGAATGTTTAATTTTTTTGAATAGCCATTTTATAATTTGACACAGGAGAATAGCTTTTGGTGAACTGAGCTCATTTGGAGAATAAGAGAACACAGGCTTGAAAATTAACAACATAATCTTTTTCTTTAGAGCTGTGTTTTAGATAATACTCCCTCTGTTCAGACTACAAACCCCACTAGTACTACTGTAATTTGTAAGTGAATGAAAGTTTTATACAACCCTCCTTAATTAAGGCCTTATCATTAACAAATTGGGTTTAAGGTGGGGGGAGGTGTGCATGTGTGCACACATACTGACATTGTGAATATTTGTGTGGAAGATGCCATTTAGCAATGATATATTTTGTGATAGGATAAACACTAAAGAAATGTGCACAAAATATTCAATTCATTTTCTTTTTTAATATTTATTTGGTTTGGCATCATCAACAAAATCAAAACTTTTAATTAAGATACATTTATTTTCTAGGAAATGCATGAAATTCAGCCCCTCGTATTATTATTAAAAGGACCATTATAGTACAGCTCAGAGTGATTTATTTAGTTAATATTTCCTTACATCTTCCAGTATCAAACTAAATGATGATTATCATATTTTAAGTGCTCGTTTTATAAGCTATCACACTTGGATTTTCTTTTTCCTTTTTTTTTTTCTTTTGCCCTTGCATTTCAGTTTACCTCTTCAAGTCCACAGATTTTATGCGATGATTGGAGCTCATGAAATGCATACTACTTTGATCTGTGACCTTTTTGTGGTGCTAATCGGGTTCCTGATATCATTATACCTTACTCATTAATCATATTTCCTGCAGCTCGTCAACCAGCCAGACAGCCCAAGCCCCCATTTTCAGCCCTGTGTTGGCAGGTTTCTGCTTTTCCAGATTATTACAGTGCGATACTTTGGCTTCTCATAACCAGACCCACATCAAGCTGTGTGCTACAATTAAAGTCAGATGGTCCTCAGGTTGAACAGGGATATAGTGTTGCAGCTGTCTGTCTTTTTGGAACAGACCAGCACGAGGAACAGATGATAGGTAGGACAGTGCATAATAACAGATTGTACAGTATTGGGTCAATAGCAGGGGTTCAGGATGTTAATTGACAGAAACATTGATTTAAAATGGATTCCCAACTTGTTGTTTTTTTAAACACTGTATAGGATGTTTTTTAATTAAAACAGATTGCATATCTTTTGTATATGCTGGGGGGAGGAAACGCAACTGGGTAAATGATTAATACTCCCTTTTGATTGATGGAATGTCATACAATTAGTGAAATGATTCTAACAACATCATGCTAGCATTAAGAAATGTAAAATAGGTGTATTTTATATAATTTTCTTTTTCATGTGTTATATAGTCTGATAATAGATGGCAAAAATCAGCATATTCTGGCAAAGGAGGTTTATTTTACCAAAGTAACAGTCTTTCATCAAGTTGTAAAAAGAGTACTTTTTAAAACAAGTTTTCATTCTAAGTATGGGGGTGGGGGACAGAATGGATTTGGCCAGTATTTTTCTCAGCTTTTAGATAATTGTGTTTTAGTTTTCCTCATGTTTGACTACAATGTGCTGTTATTGAAATAATCATATCGTATCAGATTTCACTGACAAAAGGGCCAGGGAAGAACTGTGAAGGATCAGGCTCTTCTTAAATGTACTTTTAATCAGATATATTTCAAAATGTTCCCAGTATCTCAGTCCATCCATAAAGCTAAAACAGTTGTCATTAATAAAAATTATTATTAACAACCTATTGAATATTCATAGTAATAAAATACTAATAATATTTGGTCAAAACATCACCAGTACTTAAAGCCATCCATCAGCCTCTTGATCTCTGGAAATATTTCAATATATACAGATAGAGTTGCCAAATGGTAAACAATGCATCATTAATAAACTAAAAATACCAGCATTTTAAACAATACAAGTTGACCGAATGAAAAGTAAAAGGCAAAGTTCATTTCCTCTTTAATTGATTATTATATTTTGAGGTATTACATCTAGGCCTGAGTATACATTAGTAGTTTTTTACTTTACTCTCCCTTTGTTGAGTGAAAGGGTCATGCAACCAAGGAGAATGCAAAGTAAACAGGAAAAACACTTTCAGCCTTTTTAACCTTTTAAAATCTTTTTCAGTTAC